GTTTGGATTAGATATTAGGAAAAAGTTCTGGACTCAAAGGGTTGTTGACCATTGGGACAGGCTGCCCTGGGAACGGATTGAGTCACCATCTCTAGAGGTATTTAAAAGGTGTGGCGCTGAGGGACACGGTTTAGTGGTAACTTGGCAGCGTTAGATTAGCTTCACGGTCTTAAAGGTCTCTTCCAACCATAACAATTCTACGACACCTCAAAAGTAACACAAACATGTAAACTGTGGCAGGTAGGACATGTTTGTACTGGTGCCTAATGTGACCGGGGGGTCACTTCAGACCAGCTGCACAAGCAACCGCACCCTCTCACCTCCACGGGCACCTTCGAGGCCTCCGGGCCGGATGTCCCCCTCCACCCCCTCCCCTCTCCCCGCCTCCTCCCCTCTCACCGTCGACGTCCACCTGTGCCTGGGGCTTGTCCGCCACCCACATGTCTCCGTAGGGATCCTCATTATTCCACAGCGGCAGGTAGTGCTTCTTCTCCCCGCGGAGGGGCGGCGGGCGGTGACGGCGGGGCGGGGAGAGGGCCCCCGTCCCGCCGAGACCCCCCGCGGGCTCCAGCTCCTCCAGGCAGAGGAAGCCGTACCGGAGCCGCTTCTCGTCGTACAGGTAGGAGCAGCGCCTGAGGCACAGGCGCGCGCCGGCCCGCAGCTGCGCGCGCTGCACCAGGCCGTTCAGGTGCGGCGCCAGGTAGCAGCGCTGGTGGCACGCGCCGTCCGCCAGCGTCACGTCGTACCAGTATTGCGGGGAGGGGGCGGCGGCGGCAGCGGGTGGCGGCGGCGCCTCGGCCAGGTAGCGCTCCACCGCCACCACCGTGAGGGGCGGCGGCTCCGCGGGGGACACGCTCAGCTGGGAGGAGCCCCGCACTTCCTCAAAGACCCGCTGCAGCCAGGAGGCCCCACCGCTCGCCGGACCCCCCGCCGCCGCCGCCGCCCCCCGCCTCTCCTCGGCGGGCCGGGCGCCGCCACCACCGCCGCTGCCTTCCGGGGTAGGGTCCTGCATGACAGCCCAGGCCGCTGCTGGGGAGGGGAGAGGGCGGCCTCGGCCTCCCGCTGTCACCGGCTGAGCGAGGGCGCCGCCATAGCGCGGGGGCGGGGCTGGGGCCGGTGCGCGCGCGCGCCGCGTTCCGTTCAAAGCTCCCAATGGGCGCGGAGGGGGGAGGGAAGAGGGTGACAGGAAGGCGACGGTGGGGAGAGCGGGCTCGGCCGGGGCGGGGGGGCGAAGGGGGGAGCAGAAGGCCCCGGGGAGGAGGAGGTGGGAGGAGCAGCCGGTAGCGGCTGAGAGAAGGGGGTTCCCGAGGCGGTGGGTGGCACCGGCCCGCTTCGGGGCTCTGTGAGGCCGTGTGCCGCCCGTGGGCTGGCACCGAGAAACCGTTAGAAACCGAGCGTGGGGCTGGGGCGCGGAGGAGCCGTGTGTGGGGCCGCTGCGGTGCTGACCTGCCGCCCTCCCTCGTCTTGTGGAGAGCCTGCCGAGTGCCCCCGGCTCGGCGTGGGTGAGGTACGGCCTGGCAGCCGGGCCTGCCAGCCTCCTGCCTAGGAAATAAAAACAAAATAAACAAATAACAAACAAAGATCTGACGAATCAACAGAGGGTTACAGGGCTGGCGCCACAGCCAGGGGTTCGGCTACTGGGACTATGGGACTTGCTTTGAGAAACCAGGCCTGCTGGGGGCTGATGGGGTCTGTCTGCCAGAGAAGGGGATGAGCATCTTTGGTCATGGCTTGCCAAGCTGGTGAAGGGGGCTTTAGGCCAAAGTTGCCAGGGGAGGGGAACATCAATCCACCCTACTCCTGCCAGTTTGATGCTAGTGCCAACGCTAGGTGCCCAGGGCCTGGGGAAGGATCACAGGTCAGCAGGAGAGCACCTGGAGTGCAGCACAAAGGAATTGCAGCTGGTAACTCAGCTTCATTGGGGCCCGACTCATATGCCTCTATGCAAACTCATAGGGCATGGGGAATAAACAAGAGGAGTTAGGGAAACACCAAGCTGTGTGGAGGGGTCAATACACTGGAGGGAAGCGACACCACCCAGAGGGACCTTGGGACAAGCTTGAGAGGTGGGCCTGTGCAAACCTCATGAAGTTCAACAAGGCCAAGTGCGAGGTCCTGTACCTGCATTGGGGGAATCCCAAGCACAAATACAGATTGGGTGGAGAATGGATTGGCAGCTGCCCTGCTGAAAAGGTCTTCGAAGTACTGGTGGGTGAAAAGCTGGACATGAACTGGCAATATGTGCTCACAGCCCAGAAAGCCAACCACAGCCTGGGCTGCATCAAAAGAAGTATGGCCAGCAGGCTGAGGGAGGTGATTCTACTCTGCTCTCATGAGACCCCACTGGAGTACTGCATCCAGCTCTGGGGCCCTCAACATAAGAAGGACATGGACCTGTTAAAGTGAGTCCAGATCAGGGCCACAAAGATGATCAGAGGGCTGGAGCACATCTCTTGTGAAGACAGGCTGAAAGAATCTGGAGAAGAGAAAGCTCCAGGGAGACCTTATAGCAGCCTTCCAGTACTCAAAAGGGGCTACAGGAAAGATGGGGCGGGCCTCTTTTATCAGGGAGTGTAGCTATAGGACAAGGGTTAACAGTTTTACACTGGAAGAGGGTAGATTTAGATTAGACATTAGGAAGAAATTGTTTACTGTGAGGGTGAGTGAGACACTGGAACAGGTTGCCCAGAGAAGCTGTGGATGTCCTATCCCTAGAGGTGTTCAAGGCCACGTTGGATAGGGCTTTGAGCACCTGGTCTAGTGGGAGGTGTCCTTACCCCTGGTAGGGGGTTTGGAACGCAATGATCTTAAAGGTCCTTCCCAACACAAACCATTCTATGATTCTATAAAATAGGGTCTTTATTCCCTGCATCCCGTTAGGGACTTTTTGCTGCACCTGTTCCTGATTCTGTTTTAATTTAAGTGGATGCATAATACTCATTATTGCTTCTACCTGAAGATGAATGCATTCCTAGTCATAATGGAAGTGTCTCATGCTAGTTCCTAAACTTGTATTTATCTTTTTTCATAGTTGCAGCACGTTAATAATCACAATCATCCTGACATTGAAAAAATCTCCTGGGTCTTTCTCTGTTGTTTCCAACAGCAATGGTTGAATTTCCATCTATTGGGAGAAATTCTTACTAGTGGTCCCTAAGTGCGTGAGCTTTTTTATTTTAGTATTGATTCTTATCCCACTGCTACTATGAAGATAATCTTTTTCTTCTTTATGATACCATGATCACTTAATGATATTAATGAAACTTCTGGGGATTAAGAACTTAGTATTTAATACTTTATTGACACTTGCTAATATAAGTATTTTGTTTCTATCAAAGGTAACATTAGGATATAAAGCAGCAGGACAGAGTGAGGAGAGAGGGGTAAAGATAAAGGGACAGGAAGAAGAGAAGCAGTTTCCAGTATTTATAGAGTCAGTGGTCCAGATAGCCTTTGGAAATCCAGGAGACCAAAGTGGGGCTGCAGCTTAGGCAGAGCTGCTTCATGCACCGGTCCAGAAGCAGTTCTCTGAGCTCACAGCTTGAGAATGATTGTTTTCTTAGTCTACTGACTTTGCTGCTGTGGATCGTTTGCCTTAGGGAAATTGGAAAAACCTGTTGCTTGAACTATTTAAAACAGACTGAGAAACTAGACAAAGGGGTATAAAAAACCCCAAGCCTTTTCTGGCCTTTAGACGGCCCTAGGAATGGCATGAGTTTATGGCTTTTTATGTAACAGTGCACTCAGTGAGAAAATTTAAAACAAATCAATCATTCTTGATGTTTGTGTTGAAGCCAAGGTATTGAGTAAAACTTCAGTATGCTGTCTTTGTTTGTTTGTTTGTTTCCCTTGTAAACACATGATCTGTTGTATGGACTGATAAAATGGCATTTATGATTCAAAAAAACCAAACATGACCCAAATGCCTTTTTACTATGGTTGCACAGGATGTGATTTCACATCACATACAAACCTTACCTCAAGAGCTGTTGTATAGACTTATTTTTTCCAAGCTATTAAATGAATCTGAAGGTGTAATGAGGAAATCTGTGGACTGTTCCCAGCTTCCCTCCACTTTTATCTTGCTTGTGATACAACTTGCAGAAGAAATGTATTTTATTTTGCAGAGGTAATTGTTACATGTACATCTGTTGTCAGGATTTTTTATTATTATTTTAAGTCACTGTAGTTTCAGTCATGAAACTGTGAAGCTGAAGCATTTGTGGAGTGATAATGGACTGACAGTAGAGTTAATACTTTATAATTTTGGATAAGTTTGTATGTGTTGCAGTTTGAGATACAAGATAGGTCCCTCTCTTAGTAACTTGTTCCTGTTACCTTTTTTCTCACCAGCAGAGGTCTAGCTAACATACAAATTTCAAAACTGAAACAGGTAAGGCTCTTTTCCTGATGGCATATCAATAGTGTGTTTTAATGACTGGCTGCATCCATGAGTTCCTCTAGATGTGATTTCCCTGCCATACCTGACCAGTGGGACAGATGCGATTGTACTAGAAACTGGAAGTTCAGAAACATTTGGAGACTCGGTAATGAATGGTGACGAGCCATCAACAGATGGCTGTGTCAGAATCATGAAAACTAAGAGCTCAGTCTGTTATGTTGAGCCTGTTCCATCAGGGCATGCAAGAAGCTCACTAAAGACAATGTGGTTTTTCATATACCTAAAACTAAGTCTGCTGAACTGTACGAGTGTTGACCTCTGGTGAATCAATATATAGTCTCAAATTCTCAGACATAATTAGCAGCCAAGTATCTCAGTTTTTATGTACAACACACCTTAAGTAAAACAGCAGTTAGTCTCTATAGCCATGCCAGTGAGGAACGGGATATGCTAAATAGGAGGACATTATGACATTATGTTAAAGGTTAGATTTAATATATGTTGGAGAAATGAAAGGCACAATGCACTGTAGATTAAAAAAATATAGCTGTTGTGTAAGATCATAAAGCTTACTGTAAACCACAGTTGTTTGCCACAAAGTGTTTTGAGGACAAAAATGGAAAAGCCTTTCTACTACATTTCTCCATTATCTTTTAGGCGCTTTGTTAAATCAACCTAGAAGATAACAGGAAGCGATTAAGTAATGCTAAAATAACATTTGAGGTGATTTCCCAGCAGACGTCCTTTTGCCCTTTAATCAGCTCTATGCACTTTGAGAAGCAGTTTAAGAAACTGGTGAGCTCTCAGCAGGAAGATCTACACTTTTATGTGGAACCTTGATTTATCATGCAGGTTTTAGAATCTATAGAAGTCTTTTATCTAGATTGCAAGTTTGCTCGTGTCTCATTTACTTAAATACAAATGTCTAAACATGGAACTGAACTTCTAAGCTGGCATTTATGATGGTCTTTGGAGAGGCAATTTCACTCCAGAGCAATTTAGTACCATGAAACAAACTACTTTTAAATGTAAAACAGAGCTAAAATTAAAATGCCATCTCATCTGAGCTCCAATAGCAATAGATAATACAAAGCTATTTACAGTTAGATATATTATGTAACTTACATTGTGTGTGTAGCTCTATCTTACTGCCTAGCTCTACTGTTTGGCAAATAATTGTAAAGTTAAAGAAGATAGTTTAGTTTTTTCTATTGCAAGCTCTCATTTTGCTCTGGTTCCGCTGCCCTCACCCCACTGGGTATTTGTGTAAAGAGAAAGGCATAAGCACAGCAATTCACTTGCAAAGCTCATTAGCAGCATGCACAGCACAGCGCCAGCTGTCACCTTTACTGGCACTCTGTCTAGGCTGAACTCTCACATTTTCACCTCGGCATCTTTATCCACTGCATGGAAATATATTCATTTTGTCTCCAAAGGCAGATGTAGATGTTTCCCTAGGGAAACTGTAACAGTAACAAAGGTTTCTACGATTTTTACAGTAGATTATGCCAATATAACAGAATTTTACATGCACAATACTAGTTTTGATTTCAGAGTATTTTTTATTGCTGTTTCAGTTGTACAATTTCAACATAAGGGAACAATACATAATGTACAGTACATATCTTGCGTTGTTTGCAGGTATTAAAGTCATGTGTCAAGATTCAGGCTGCAGAATAGAGTTCACCATTCCTAAAAT